ATTAATTAAACTTTAAATCAGCTAATTTTTCTCAATGTTTCAGAAAGGTATATATTTTTTGAAATATTTTTTTAATAGAGAAAATTATGCAGTGTTGACAGATTTGTCAATATGGATGATTTTAATAATCAGAAAAAAAAAATTCCAGTAAATTTAAATTCAGTTTAAAATACACTATGTACCACCAAAATCTATCCTTTTTACTCCAATGAAAGTAAACAATCAACAAACGGTTTTAAAATATTTGCCAAAAATCAGGGAAGAGTTCAGAACTTATTCACTAATGACCGACTATTTTATTGAATAGGTTATTTTATTAAAAAACTTTGAAAGGGGAGGTCCCCCAAATTTGATATCATGTGTATACACTTTAATTTGGGGGCTGGGGAGGTCACCCAAATTTTTTTAGTTATATAAAAATTGGTACCTCTGCTAATTCAGTATACTTAAGGTTTTAAAATGAATTTTTAAAAATGAAAAAGCTTTCCTGGTGCTTTCATTTTAGATTTAATTGAAAGCTAAAAGGATTTAAAATTTACCAAAACTTCCAGTAATAATCTGTGGTGTATTTCAAGGAGAAATTATATTGATCAGAATTGATTTTTTTCCTCCCCCAGTAAAATTGCATATTTCGACACATTTGTAAACAAAAGTTAATTCTTGCTTTTAAAAATCTTGCAAAAATAAAGTATATATTTCTGAAATGTAATTTTAGGGAAATTAGCAAATTTAAAGTTAAATTAATTTGATTTAAAACAAACATTAGTTCCTTATAGCATAAAACTAGCAGCAGAGCCCGGCGTTGCCCGGGGATGTAACAGTAAGAGATAAATCAAGTATTGACCATCATAAAGACTGAAAAATAAAATTGACAAAGATTATTGTTTAAGGTTGACGGATACGCATGTCTTAATTATTTTTTTTTTGTTTTTTTTTTTTACGAATTAGTCAAACCCAAACTCAAACAAAAACATTGTTTTCAATCGTTATGAGTCTATCGATTGAATAGAATTTTATTATAAACAATTGTCTTGTAAATGGAATTTTTAAAGCATTCCGAATGTAAAAATAAAGAAAAAAGTGTGCAAGACAATAAGAAACAATACCTGCCAAAAAATAGTGAAGTTTTGTTGAAATCGGTTGAAAAATGTAGGAAATCCGATCCCATATAAAAACGAACACACACACAAACATGGGTTTTATAATAAGTAAAACTCGATATGAGTTGTTCCCCTTCCATTCTGGCGACAGAATCGTGTTTTCAAATTGATTTCGTGCAAAAACAATCGTGTTTTTCCAATTTTTGGCGCTGTCAAAACCACCGCAAGGTAATTTTATGCAGTCCTGTGAAGTTTTGTTGAAATCAGTTGAAAAATGTAGGAAATCCGCTGTTACTGTTGTTTTTCTGATATATTGATCAATATTGACAGCCTAAAGTATGGTAACGCACAATTGCATGCAGACGATAAATTTTATGAGGGTTTGTTTTTTTTCTCCATAAAGGAGGGGAACAACTATTAAAACATGTGACCTTTTAATGTCATGTTCGAACTAACATACTTGGAAAAATTAGGACGTTTAACCACAAAAACGAAATTCTTTTTAAAAATATTCGGGGTCGTCAGATTGTAATATTTTAGTACATATAATTTTTTTACTTAATAACAATATTTCAGAAACTGTATTTTAAAAGATTTAAAAACTTTATAAATGAATTATTCAATTTAAAAATGTAAAAAAATGAAAACAAATCTTGAAAAAATTCATTTTGTAGTTTAGTTTACCAAGGAAATGAAAAAAGGAAACATTTTTTTACAAAACCAGATATCGTCATAGAGAAGAGATTGACTTAATTGCCCAATAATACGAATTTAGTTCGCTATATTCAAGTAAAAAGAAAGAATATGAAAATGACCATGTCCTGTGTCAGATGAGAAAGAAACTTGCAGATTTTGTTACGACAACGCAACTATATGCTAAAAATATTGGATAAGAAATTTTTAAATAACAAAGCTTTTAGTTAGCTTTTACTTTTAAAACTAGGAAATAAATAAATTAAAAAAATGTATGCGGTCATATTTTCCATAATATCATATCCCATTAACTTTTCCAGGGCAATAATTGCTTTCGCTGCAGCAATTAAAAAAGCTTCTCTTATTAATGTCTTAGTTTTACTTTTATTGCCTATTTTTCGCTTCAGAACAGATTTTCGATAAGACGGAGTCTAATTTTGAAAAAGAAAATTTGGTGATTTAAATTCTTCAAAGAATTCTGCTTTTGAAGAAAAAAAATCATTCATCTCCTCTTCTTGTGTGTCGGTGTTGTTGGGTGATGTTAAAAGCCTAAATTTAAATGAAAAATTAAATTCTCAATCAAATTCAAGTTTTACCCGTGTTGTACGATCTTACATTAAATTATAAATAATACACAAGAAGACTAAGCCGATTTTGTTCTCGGCTTCTTCATAAAACTACTCAAAGAAGCAGACGGTCTTAAAATTATTGGATAACGACCAAAATACAATGTTTAGTTTACAGATAAATCTTTATTCTTATAAATAAAAAATTACATGCATATTGTTCCATATGCTAAAGTAGTAACGAAAATTAATGATGAACAAAAAATAAAACGGATTTTTACATGAATAATGTAATAACGTATGATTCTACAAGCAGACAACTTAAAAAACATCTTTTCTTTTTTGAACTTTTTCTTTACAATAAACAAATCTTGTTATAAAATTTTTTAACAATTTCTTCAAATTCTATTATCTTTCTTCAATTCATTTATTTCTTTTTCTTCTTCTGAAACTCTTTTTCACTTTAGGAGCTGAAAGCGTAAATAGAAAACACAAAGCCTAACCCAGTCTAGGATCTTCTTAAAATCTTATCCTTTAAAATACTTTAAATCTTATTTTAAAGTAAAGAATGTGAATAGAGGCAGAATTCCCCGCATCGAACGACTCTGCCAAACAAAAAGAAACGTTGACTCTCCGCCGAGTCAACAAACAAATAAAGCAAATGCAAATGCAATAATTCCCCTTCGAGGGAATTAAATTACTTCTTTTAGCTTCGGAATTCTACTGAAGCTAACAAAATCTTTTCTTCAAAGTTTTTCAAATATAAACAAATCTCAGCTACGGAATTCTACCGAAGCTAATAAAATTTTCTCATCAAAGTTTCACAGATTTTAAAAGGAGTCGTCTGCAGCTTCCAATTCCATGAAAAAGAGCGGCAACAAAAAATTATCGTCTGTTTTGCCATCAGACGCGTATTATACAAAAGTAACAAAACATCAATACATCATCTAATATTTTACCATTGAAAATATTGAAAAGATGTTTTCTCACTTTAATATTCTAAATTTCTGTAAATAAAAATTTTCCAAACTTTCACGCTGAATTTCTCAAGTTTTCATAAAATTAAGTAAGAAACATGCAAAAAAAAAAAAAAAAAAAATCAAGATTTTCTAATAATAAAAAAAAAAATAAAAAAATAATTTCATTCATTTATGAATAAGTCCTGATAATTTCAATAAAATCCGACAATTATTTGATTTTTGCAAGAATTTCCAAATTAATGTCCGTCACCGCAAAAAAGAGGCTAAAATTTGCTAACTGCTGACGCAGGAAAAACAAGTTTTTTTGTTTTTTTTTTTAAATCAAAATGTTCTAAAAAGGGATAAAAAATTTAATTAAATAAAAAAAAAATATACTTTAATCTTTCCTCTTAATATCATAAGGATTTTGACTGTAAAACTATGTTTTTATAACGTTTGGAACATGGTTTCATCACGGTATGCGGTTTTTTTTTTTTAGCGATTTCGTGGATGTACCTAAAAAAAAAGATATTATTTCAGTAAAAATAAAAATGTAATATTGAGTAACACACGGAAAATTCGGCCCATACCTTGGCGAAAAAAACGAAAACAAAAAACAAAACAAAAACAAAACAAAAAAACAATAAAACTCAAAATATTTTTTTGGAGAATTGGTGCTTGCATTTTTAGAAAAAAAAAAAAAAACTCGTTATTTTTTTCAGATTCGACAGAAAAAAAATGTAAACTTAAAAAAAAATGTTTGTAATTTTTCAGTGCAATTTTGAAATTAATTGCGTTGCAGTTCATCACAAGAGTTTATATTTTAAAAATAAAATTAAAATACATGTTTGAAAAGTTTAAAAATGTTATTTTCGAGTGTGAACCTTTTTTTTTTTAAAAATCATTTTTTTCCTTTTAGGAGCTGTTAGTTAAAATATGTTTTAAAAAGTTCGTGGCGGTACCTACACTACAAAGTATTTTCCTTTAGAAATATTGTAAATTTAAATTAATCTATTGTTAGCTTGAATTTAAAACTAAAACAAAAGCTTCAGGAAAAATTTTTCATTTTTAAAAATGCATTTTTTAAAGTAAACCTTAGGTCCCGCTTTTTTTTGGGGGGGGGGGGAGGTAACTTACTTTAGTTTTTGCTTTTCGTGTGTGTGTTTTTTTTCTATATGAACGCACTACAAGGTGCGATGGCTAAATTGTCACCATTTTATATTTTTAATTTCGTACATGTATGTTGTTTTTATTTTTATTTTGTCGACTGCAATCTGCATAGTATAGTAGGGTCGGGTGGGCACCATCTGTGGGAAAAAGAGCACTAAGATGTAATAATTCACTCCGCCAGAAATTTGGAAACGGCATGCTGTACTTTGGCATTCACGCGCGCGCCGGAATTCAGTGTTTGGGTGTCAATCTGAGAACAGAGCAGAGTATTCGGAAAGAGTTGGAGGAGTCTAATGATGATTATGAAGGTGCGGCAGCTCGGAAAAGTCATTTTGCTAAGAAAAAAAAAACCCCAAAAAACTCTCGAATTTATTCTTGAGACCCAGACCATGATTGACAACAATCCCTCCAAGTCAATAAGATCTCAGGGACACAGGAGGAAGAGCGTCTGAGTTTCTTACCAGACAGGTGGTAAATAAAGATCTTGTAGATGATGATAAAACAATACTTACCTAAAATTAAATTCTTTCTTTTCTACCATAAAACCGTAGTCTTTGTGGTCTCGAATATATTCAGCATGGACAGCTGCATTAAACATTATTTTCTTAGGAACACAACCGACATTTACCTATGTGAAATTAAACATGAAAATAATTTTAACTACTTAAAAAAAATGATCTGAACCAAATAAATAAATTATTTATCGCACTCTGATCTAGTTCAATTGTTCTTTTAGTGACATTTCTCTTACTAAGGTATTTCTTCATAGACTTCAAGGAAAAATGAAAACAAAACAAAACTTATTTGAAAAAAAAAAAAAGTTTTGCAATGAGTTTAATAATGTACTTTATTTTATAGGGAAAATTTATTGATGAACACCGGTTTTTGTATTTGACTTAATATTGGTTTACCGTTTATTTTTTCGCATAATAAAAAAAGGAGCGATAAAAATCTATTTAGTTTCTAAATCTTGTATTATTCCCAAATTTATAATTTTAAAAAGAATTATTGAATTTATTCATTTTTTTTTTTAAACAGCTTACGATTTTTTTTTTAAAAATTCTGAAAAAGTCTGTGACGCTTTCTTTCACAAGTTATTCATTCCAATAAATCACAACATACAGCAACTGCTCTGAATATTTGACCACTGTGAATTAAAATAAAAAAAACTTATAAAATTGTCAATGACTAAAAAAAAAAAAAAAAATGCCCGATTTTTTTTATTAATATTTTAAATGTAAAACTTACACATGTGCCGCCCCATGGTCCTTGTTCAATGATAGCCACTTTCACTCCAAATTCAGCCGCCCGCCGAGCACTTGCTAACCCTCCAGAACCTCCACCGATGACAAGATAATCATAAGTTGCTGCTGTCATCGCATTTAAAATACGAGACATCGTCTCTAAAGCAAAAAAAGTCAATGATTTAAACTTCTTTTTAGACGAAAAACAATGAGACCGCGCTTTCTTCTTCCTGTAATAATCAAGATGGAGTTTCACTTCTTGATAAACTAGATAAAAAGACGCTTGTAGAATTTTAAGTGAAAAAATAACTAAGAAATAAAAAAATTGGGTTTGTCCGTTTTGATAAACAACTTATGTGCCGTTTTTAGTAGTTGTGACCCTCCTTAAAAAAAAAAAAATTAACTGAGACGATGATTTATGACAAGTCCAACCAGTTGAAAATTCGAAATTAAATAAACAAACGGACCCATTATTTTTAGTAGTCAAGATAATGAAGCGGAATCAGAGTAGTTAAACAAGTTTTAAAAGCTATTTTATGTCCAAAACGAAGTCTTTTTTTTTTCTCTATATTATGTTCTTGATTTTAAATAAGGAAACCATTAATTAAGAATTGGGAATAAAAACTACTTTAAACTTTTAAATCTGCCGTAAGTAGTTTGATGACAATTTCATCATTATTTGTAAAGCTGTGTCTCTGCTTGACTGAGTGAAGAAGAAGGATGTTATAGTTGTTATTATTCTTGAATGGAAACAACTTTCTTTTTAGGGAGTGGCTGATCACATGAGAATTTTCTTTCTCCTGTTTTTTTTACGGACAAAATAAGTCGAAGACGGAATACTCGGGTATTGCCAGGATTTTGTAGTAATTCAGAACAATTCATAAGGAAGGCAGCGAAAGCAATGATCGTCCTGAAGAAGTTTATGGAAAATATGACCGCGTATATTTTTTAATTTATTTATTTCCTGCTTCTAAAAGTAACTGAAAGCTTTGTTGGTATTTTAAGATGTCTTATTCCGAAGATCCCTTTTTTAGTATTTTATTTGCGTTGTAACAATCTGCAAATTTCATTCTCCTCTGCCACAGGATTTCTTTTTACTTGGTCATTTTCACATTCTTTCTTTATTTGAAAATAAATTTGTATTATTGGGAAATTAAGTCAATCACTTCCCCATGATGATACCTGTTTTTTTGTACAAAAAACAAACAAAAAAAAAAGACAATAAAAATTTCTTTAAAAGCAAAAACATACAACTGTACATTTGAAAAGTCACTAACTTAACTTCCTTGAACTCGAGTGCCTCACCTTCTTGGCATCGCCAGACTTTCACTTGTAAGTTTGATCCTCAGCTGAGTGCCTTATGTTTGTGGCCATGTGCCACGCTTAGCTTAGTAACCTAGGCTGGATTTTTTGAAAATTTTGAGTTTTCTCTGTTCAACTTGAAAAGAAAAAAAAATTTCAAAACGTGAAGATTTATTGTTTATTTGGAAGTGTAATGAAATCAAAATTTAATTGAATTAAACGACAAAGCGTAGATAAATGAAAAATTCCTTAATGGTCTCTGCTTACATTCAGAATGTTCTGTCTGAGATTCAATTAGGCTTCCGCTTAAGTTAAGCTTTGAAAGTTTGGGATTTTCTTCGTTAAGCCGCTTAACGAAGAAAATCCCAAATTTTCAAAGCTTACCAACTTGAACTAAGTAAAACATCTTGCTTGAGTATGAAAACGATATCACACACAGAAAGTTTAGAAAATAAAGTTAAATTGATCAATTTTTTTTATCCGAATGCCCGTTTTCTTTAGCATTTAGTTGTGTTGTTTGTCGTATTTACAAAATTTGCAAGTTTATTTCTTATCTGACTCAGAATTTTACTGTTAATTCGCTAAAAAAAAAAAAAAAAAAAAAAAAAGCATACCCTGATGAAAAAAGGCCCCAAACTTGAAAACATTTTTTTTGTCTTTGGTCTTTCCTCATAATAAGAAAATATTTTTTGGTTAGTTTTTTTTACATTTTTTAATCCTTCCTAGCACGCCCGAAATTTTAGTGAAAATTTTTTTTTTTTTTTTTGAGTCAGCAAGAAATGGATGAAGGCCGCCATTTTTAGAGATATGTAAACTAAACAAAAGTTAAATTCTTCGTTTAAAAATCTTGTAAAAATCAATATACCTTTTTCAAAAGTTATGAGGAAAATTAATTTTAAAGTTTACTGAAATGTAATTAATTGGAAACAAACATTACTTAATTTTTTAGCAGAAAAAAATTAGTTGAAAATAAAAGCAGCATGTCTGACTTGTTTTGGAGGTGGGAATTGACATTTATGCCGATGTATAAGAAAGCTTACGTCAAGGGATGTTATCGAACGGAAGGACAGAAGTGACAATATTTTCGAATTTTATGTGAATCAGTTTATACAATAATTTTTAAAAATTAAATACTTTTAGAAATTTAATATTTTTTAATTATTTTAATTTATTTATTTTAGGTAGTTTTATGAGTGAATAGGATTTATAGAAAAATAAAATTAAATACTTTCAAAAATCTAATATTTAATTGATTTTTAGGTACCTTTTTTTTTTTTTTAACGAAGATATGTTCAAAGCCTACACTGTTTCTATCTCTAAAATTAAAACTAAAAAAGAAAATAATTAATGATTGCAGTATGTCTCTCACTGAAAAACAATGAATTAATTATATTTGATGAAATAGGATGTAAAAATGAAAATTAAAATTTTTGAAAATGCGACGATGATGGTCAAACAAAGAGTCAGTCAGAACGAAAACGCAAATTTTCTGATTTTCTTGCTGTCAGGGGAAACAACTCTTAAAAAATTTGACATTATGTCAAGCACATTCACCCATATATTTGGGAAATGTTATGAAACAGTGTAAAATTATTTTAAAAATACATATGTGTCGCAGATTGTAATAAGCTTTCAAATTTATTATATGTAAAAATAGATATACTTAATAACAGCATTTCCTAAAGGGCACGGATTGAAACTTAATTTTAAAATATTTAACAACTTTATCACATTTTGTATTTAAAACTGAAAAAAAAAAAAAAAAAAAAAAAACAACATTATCAGAAAAATATTTTGGCCTTAGACAATATTATCCTGAACATATATACTATTCATAAAAACAATTATTTATAATTAAATAATGTTTTAGTGGTTTTTTTTTTGGGGGGTAGTATTTTACAGTGTATTCTGATTTTACAAAAATATCGATGATTTATTTCTATTTTTCAAAGTCTTCTACTTTTTTAACATTAGTTATAATCACAAAAGGGCACAATATCGAATTTCTCGAGTTTTCATAAAAATTAAGTAATATGTATGTGCGTGCTTAATAGATGTAAAAAAAAAAAAAAAAAAGTCTAAAATAATTACATTTTTGTAAATAAATTCTGAATTTTCATTAACATCCGACAATTATTTGATTTATTGCAAGAATTTACAAATCAATGTTTTCGTCTTAAAAAAAAAAAAAAAAAGACGTTAAAAAACACTAATGGCAAATAATACGCCGACCGCTGACGTAACGGGCTAGAAAGGATGAAAAATATAATAAAATAAAAAATACTTTGATCTTTCCTCTTAATAACAGCAGAAGCATTTTGATAAAAATTCTTTTTTTTATTAAGTTTTAGAGCCTTTTTTCATCATGCTATGCTGTTTTTGTTGTTGTTTTTCTTTCGGCGAAAAAGAGAGGCAAATAGAATTTTTAGTAAAATTAATCATAATGACAATCTACAGAACAATATTATTATTCACTAATATAAATTTACAGTACATTAGGTTACATTTTTCAAGTGAACATCTAGAATCCGATCGAAGAAGGAATAATTCAGAGCATAGAAAAAAACTTGCATATGTAAAAAAAAACATTAAAACTCGGTCGGAGAGAAAAGTAAAATATAAAGGAGAATTTATTTTTCTAACACCGTTTAGCAGTCGGTGTTACATTAATTCTGGCCCACAGAAATGAGCCGTCAATTGTATGCTGGAGATTTTTAATTCCTCAACAAATTGTTTGTATTTTAAGTAAAAAGAACATATCATGAACAGCTGATGATGGCTACCAGAAAGATTCGAAAATCAGTCTGCAATTCCAATATGTTCAATCGACTTAAACGACAAAATATCAACACTTGTAAAGACATCTTGTCTCGATCAAACTTTGAACTGATGAAAATGTTTGGACTCACTCTACCGCAAGTTAAGAATTTAGTAGACCAGGTTAGTAGGACCTGCGTGCCGAAATCTTCCAAGGCTTCTGAAATGATTAAATCTTCGAAAGAAAAAGAAACCAGACAAAGAAATCGCACTTTCTTTCGTACATCTTTACCAGATCTTGACAAAGCACTTCACGGAGGTATTCCGGTTGGAACTTTAACAGAAATAGCTGGACCCGCTGGATGTGGCAAAACCCAGTTGTGTATTATGTTGAGCCTATTAGCAACAATGCCAACAGATATGGGCGGGCTTGCAGGTCGAGTGATTTATATCGACACGGAATGTGCCTTTAGTGCGGCAAGGTTGGTAGAAATGGCCCAGGCTCGCTTCCCGGATTATTTTCAAGGAGAAAACTGTGAAAATAGATTATTAACTCTTACTGAGAATATTATCATTGACTTCCAGTCTAGTTGCGGCAGTCTCATGGATAAACTTCAGTCGTTAGAGATGGCCATCATTTCTAAAAAGATACGTTTGATTATAGTTGACTCTGTGGCGTCATTAGTAAGGAAGGAATATGGCGCAATAATGAATCACAATATGGCCGATAGATCTAACTTCCTCACAAAAGCTGCTGCTATTCTTAAATATTTGGCGGAATCGTTTCAAATTCATGTGGTCGTAACTAACCAGATCACGACTCGATTCCATTCAGACCAACAAACCGATACAATGCAGCCAACTATGTCGCGCGTAACGTCTGCTCTTGGGAATACGTGGAGTCACAGTGTAAACACTCGTCTGATAACAGAGTATGTGGATTCTATCCGTCGCCAGGTAATGGTCGCCAAATCACCGATCGCACCTTTTACGTCTTTTGTTTACACAATTCAGGCATCGGGTATTGTCCAAGAAAAAGACGGCGCCAACCATTATTTAGGGACTAACCCAAGCGTTCAGCAAATTCGTACAAGATCGGCCTTGATGAGCTAGGAGGAGGAAATATATTTTCAACTTTTTACCTATACTCATATTGCAATTTTGAATAAATTTGTACTTTTTAAAAAGATATTTTAAATAAATATTTTATAAAAAAAACTAGCGAAGCGTTTTTTTTTTAACTAACCAAATTGTTTGATATGCTAAACTTTCTCTTGTCAAGTTGTCACCCACGTTGTAAATGTGTTTAAATGGCAGAAAAGACGAGATTGCGCTTGATGCCTAGTTTTTTTTTTTTTTTTTTTTGGAATGTAGTTATTGGAGAGGAGGGGAAACTTACCCAAGCATCAAAGTTTCCACCGTCTCCTTCGAAGAAGGAGTCTTAGTTATACAGTTACTTTTACGCCGTACGGTTTTGCCAAGATTCCATGTATCAATAAAAAAAAACGTTTGCAGTGCATTTCCCTCATGCATGCTTTTGAAATTGTCAACATTTCGCGCAGCACTTTTCTGTAGCTGTCTTGCTTGAATAAGTCGACTTCTTCCTCACTTGATTTAGGGTTTTCGTTTTACAATTAACAAGGAATCCATTGACGTTGGTAAATTTTTTTTTCAAATCTTTTTAAAGCAAGTGTCAATTTTTTGATATTTCCTGTCCGTCATTATGGCTTAAAGCAGTTTAAACTAGTTATATAGGAGTTTGATGTTAAAAATTAACAAGAAAATATTTTAAAAATATATTTGCTTGATAAAACATTTTCAGTTCACTTAATCAAATGACGAATATTTTCCAGGAGTGGATTTCTCTTTGGCGTGTTTAGGTGCTAAAACACTTCAGTTTCATCTTCTTAACTGATGCTCTGTTTCTGTGGCCTTGTACCAGGCTAACCTGAGGAAATTTTCTACACATTTATTTGCTATGAACAATTGTTAAAAAAAAAAAATTAGAAAAAAATGAAATGTTTTAAATTTATATAATTCTCTTGCATTTTCTACAAAAAAAATTTAGTAAATACTGATTGCTTTAATGTGAACAAGTCTACATTATTTAGAATTTTACTTTCAGCCAAGGCAAATTTTAATTTAAAACCAATCTGATTTCACCCAAACCAAACCCCTCTCTTTTTGAAAAATGTTTTAAAGAAAATTTGAAGGTTAAAACATTTCAACATTCCCTTATGTTTTATGCAAGCTTTTATTAGAATATATGAAACAAACCTTAAATAGTTGCCATTTAAGAGAAGAATAAAGTACAATGGAAAATAACTTTCTTACTGAATGCCATAACCTTCTGTGATACCAAAATTTGATTTACTAATGTTAGCAGAAACTTATTGAGGTGAAACTTTTGTGCAATTTGTAAAGATTCCACTTTGTTGGTGGCAGGCTTCTTTTGCAACTCTTAGAATTTTGTCACAAAATCCATTGACTCAAATGAAAGATAAAATTTGATTTCTATCTATATTAATTGGATTAAATCAAAAATCCATATAACATTCACTGCAATGAATGCTTGAAGCATAAGAATGTTGTGGATGGTTTAGCATCTATTTTCTCACTGATTGACAAAAAAATCTGAGTGAAGGTTGAATGTGGTCTTCAACAAGTCATCAGGACGATATCTTGAACAATAAATATCTGATATGCATATTTAAAATCGCATAAATTGAGAATGAAATCTTAGATCAGATGTCATGGTACATATTGCATAAGCAGTTTTCATACAAACAGAATTATAGCCAAGTTTTCTAAAGTATATGTTTAAGAATAATTACTTTTGCAACACACTTAAATATGGTACACTTCCTTCACTAACATTATCTGGAATATTCTACCATTGTGACAAATGGTTTACCCTTTTTTCCTAGAACTAAGTCAATTTAAGCAATATATTAAGAAACGAACGAGTTCAAGGGAGGTAATTGTGTTTCTCTCTGTACATATTCCGAGGAAGCGTTAGAAATTGTGTATTTTAGACACACACACGTGTGTGTATATATATATAACAATTAAATCAAGCTGCTTTAAAATCCCATGAGCAAGAGGAATTTATTTCTACAATTTCATTTTAAATTTATGAATTTGATAGATTGCGACTTGAGTTGTCTCCCTTGCTATAGAAAATAGGACAAACTGTTGTAGGCTATTACAAATTTATCTTAATAATTACATTTTTTCTTCTTTCAAATATTGGACAATATCCTATGTACATTTGACACAATTTATTTTCTTTTTTAACTGGGTCATTTTAATCTTACTTTTAAATTAAATGTAGGATTGAAGCGACTACGTTATAACCAGAGTTATCTACACTTGACTTAATATTTTTATACTGATAATTTCCATATTCAATTTACTGCGTGAAATTTAATATCCATACAAGGGAAGGAAAAATATAAAACAGAAACAAAAAATTAGTCTCTTGCTTACAGGATTACCTCCTGTTCTCTCTGAAAAGTTGAAAAAAAAAAAAAAAAAAAAAACTAAGCCAAAAGCCAATTTACAAATATACTTTTATTCCAAAAAATATAAATGTATATAAATATATAAAAATGAAAACATTACTTACCTCTTAAAACTGTGCATAGTACACAAATATAAATCATGGCTAATAGTCTTTTCTGCAATAGTTTTAATAAGCAGCTTCCTCCACTAAAGATGTACTTCACATATTAAATATGCATAAATAACATTAAGTACTTGTCCCCCACTCCATACCACCAACACTTTCATGTTGAAAATTTTGAAGAACTGATATAAAATGTTATTCATTTTTTTAAGCTAAACCTACCATCTGATGTGATGATTTTATTCAATATACTCAAACCAAATAAAATGAAAAATGTTGCAATTAGATAAAAGATGTACAAATTGGAGGAATAAAATTTTTCATGGTAAGAGAATGAAGCTAAATAAATAAATAGCACATATCAGTGAAGTTCACAAGTATCAAAGTGTGAAATTGAGAGTTTGGCTGCCATCTTTTTAGGCAGTCATATTTGCAATTCTATTTCAATTGCCACTTTATAAAAACTTAACCTAAAACAGATTATTAAATTTTGAGAAATTCTACAGGAACTCAACATTGTTTTAATGGGTAAAAAAAGTGAGTGTAAAAAGCACATAGCATTCTTTTATTGGGATTGTCAATATGGAGAGAGAGAGAAAAGGAGGAAAAGAGAAAAACAAATAAACAATAAAAGAAACAAAAGCTAGAGGCTGTAGTCCAGACTGGTGGCTGCCAGCACCAACAGAAGAAATGCAGTTTTATTTATGAAAACAGTTTATGTAAATTTTTATATAAACTTCTATTCTCAATGGGCAAAAATAATTTACAGGTAAACTTGTTTTAAAAAAAAAAAAAAAAAGAGTAAATAATAGAGTGAATTTGTCAAAAGAAACCTCAAATTCTAACTGGAATCTGATCGTGAATCCTAGATGGGAAAAAAGAAAGAAAACACTTTTCTAAGATGAAACTTAGTTTTTGTGCTGGTGCTGCAGCAACCCCTCTAATAATTTTTTTTTTTTTTCTCAGCTTACCGTGTTCTCAACTTCTCCCAGCTTTCAAGACAAATTCAAGGCCAGCTCTGTTTAGATGATGGGGAATTTTTCAGCAGCACTGCAAATTCAACAATGTTCAGTTCAATTAATAGGATTTGTTCAAATCAATTGCAATGCAATAGATTTCTTCTTTGTGCCAAATAAAAAGGTTCAAAAGTTGAGGTTTTAATGGTTTTATAGTGCAGCTGCAACCAAAGTTGAATAAATAAAAATATAAACTGCAAAATCTTAGTCCACTTACAAGTTTTTATCTTGTATTTTATCATTTATTATGTAATACTGACAAAGAAACATTGTAAATGGGGAAGCTTTTATCTCTACAAAAGTACTTAGGTAAAAAAAGAAAAAGAAAAAAATTGCTTTGCCCATAAGAAATTTTACAGAATTTAAAATATTGAAGAAATTACCAAAGTTCTGAGGAAAGTAAAAAAAAAAAAGATGTTTTGCAGTCATAAGGCAGAGAGACTTGTTAATAAAAAATAAAAAAAAAGTCTAATATTTTTCAAGGACATTCTATGTAAAAAAAATCATTTCAGAAATTTTCCAGATTTAGAAAATTACATAAAGATTAAAAAAATAGCAGCCTGTCTTTGCTAATCCCTCAAACCTAAAGCACTTATTTGACCATGTGACTATGATTATATTCATAGCTTCATGTGAAAAGAAATCCTGAAAGCATTGAATATAAAAAATATTCTTCTCAACAATCTCTTAACAGATCAAATTTCAGCCTTTAAAAACAAATATACTTCTCTAATTTTGGATAATACTTTATTTGAAACTGTATTTCTCTTGCCAATTTTCTTTCAAAAGAAAATTCTCACCATCTGACTGCAAAGTGAGAAATTTCAAAATCTCAGAACAAAGTTTGCTTTCCTCATCCTTGACACAAGATTCAACTAAAAAACATCAATAATTTAAAATTAATGATACGTGCATAAAAATTGTAATATATTAAATAAATTTAGGGGAAAAAAAGGGCAAGCAAAAAAGTCAAGCAAGAGAAATTTACATAGCAATTTGAAGTTCTCTTTCCTGTTAGATGCACAGTTGTGTGGACTTCAATGGAAAATAAACAAAGTCAAAATAAGTGAAATATACTTACCTGCTTTATACATACAAAATACATATTCTTATATTCAAATAAGATAAACAGTGATAACAAATAAATCCTGAAAATAGCCATACAAATTTATGCAGAAATTTTCCTACAGGCTCAAAGAAATACGTCTTAATATTAAAGAAATAAATTTTTAACAAATTTTCCCTACAGTCTGTTTATATCATTTTCAGGGAGTTTGAAACAATTTGATTGTTTGACTTCCTACTTTCAGACAATAAATTCTACTTTATTATAACATCTCTACAACAAACTAAAAGATTATTAAACAAATTAAACAAATGTTAGTCTTGCAACAGTTATTGAAATAAATCTCATTAGAACTGAATGAAATATAAAATGGGATTCTATGGTGAACAGAAAAGAAATGATAACCAATATGAAAAACAACGATAAAAGATTCAGTTTTCTTTTTTTTAGATCTGAAAGTAATTTGTTCTAGGCCAAGGTCTAATTATAAAAGCACTAAAAAAAGAAAAATGAAATGATTCAAATTGACACAATAGTGATTTCATGCAACAGAAAAGTTTTTGTAAAAGCCATATATATATATATATATATATATTAAAACAACAGTATGAATAGAAAGTTTCATATATGCTTTTTACAAAATAACTGAAGCCCATCTGTTTATTTTAGCAAAGGATATTCTAAATAGAAATAACTTAAAGAGATCTTGACCTAGAACTTTTTACATAAGCCTTTTCCAAATGCAACTTACCATGTAGAATGTAAAAATAGGTAAGAAAGATTCAAAATTAAAAGGGAGAATTGTAAACCTTGTCACAAAGTAAAAATAATAAAAGATGTCGGTGAGGGAGGAGAGAGGCAGGAATGATTAGAACAAGGTTTGCAAACTCCCTCCCTTTGAAGACCACTATTTACCTGATGACCCCAGGGTGGAAGAAGTGGTTGAGATTGTAGAGAATACTATCCACATCTCTTTCAGTCTCAGCAGCAGCAGCAGCAGTGGTGGCGGCGGCGGCAGCAGCAGCATCTCTGAAGAACAATCGCCTGCTATTGAAGATCCCTTTGAACCTGTATGTTGCGAGATGCTTCGCTAACATTGCAGTTCCAAAAGACCAGCAAAAATTGACCAAATATATATATGTATATATATATTTTTTTTTTTTTCCGTTCAAATTGCAATTTGGATTTTTTATAAAAATTTTGGGGGCGAAGACTTTTTAAATATTAGGAAAAAAAAAAAAAAAAAAAAAAAAAAAAAAAGAAAAAGGAGAAAAAATACAATTAGTGGGAAAATAAGGTTGGAATAATCAAGTAAAAAAAATAAATAAATAAAAATATTTCCTTGTAAGCATTTTTTTCTTTTTCATATAAATAGAAAGAGGAGAAAAAAATGTTTTCTCGCTCTAAAAACTTAAGCTTTTAGTATGGTAAGTAACAGCTGTTAAATTTTTCACAAGGAAATATTTTGGAAAAGAAAAGCCATAAAAAATGAAATAAACATGAAAAGGCAAAGAAAATACAAAGTAACAACAAAGAACGGAACAATGCTGAAAACTTAACCCAGAGGAAAAGAAGAATGCTATCCCAAAATGAAATCTACTAAAATAAGAAAAAAGGACGAGCCTTTTAGCAAATTTATTTTGGGACAGTACATGTAAGGAACAAATTAAATATTTGTAAGATCAGTGATGAGAGAAAAGTTTTGCCTTAATCAATATGGACTTGGGACTTGCAAGACTTTCCCACTATTGGTAGATATACATAAGGGTTTCTAATTTATGGAAATTTGAACTTTGGTGGGTGGTCATGTCCTGGTGGGTTAAGTGATTTCAGAAGAAAAAGGAGAAGGAGAGAGAAAAAAAAAAAACCTGAAAGCAGCATCCACTCCAAAATCATTAAATGATTTACTTTTTCTGCCATAAGCAAAATAGATATAATCTAATTGAGAGATAGAGAGAGATAGAGAGAGAGAGAAAGAAAGAAAGAAAAACAGGTGATCATCTCCCATCCAGCCCATTATTTCTTTTGAGGCAAACATAAAACCCAGTTAGTAAATAATGCTCATGAAAGTGTCTTGTTAAGTACAAGTGACACTACCCAAGAGCTAGCATTGAAAATAACCCTGTAGACAAGTAATAGTCACACCAAACACAACTGAGAAATACATAAGCAACAGAAACAAGAAAGGGGGGAAAGGGGGGTGGGATCATGATTGGGTTTAAAAATAAAGTGACATTAACAAAGTATCACTACATGCAGAAGTATAGGAAGGAAGAAACAGGAAACTAAGAGTAATTATTAGACTTAATGCAAACGTGTGTGTGTGTGTGTGTGTGTGTGTGTACACAAATCAGCAAGGGCACGATGAGATATTTATTTAATATTTAATGCAGTTTGTTTTCTGTAAACTGCATTTTATATAAAAAAAACTATCAGTTTATAAGAATACGAGATTTAATTAAGAGAAATGTTTTAAATTAAATTTTAAAAGGAAAAACTGATAGGATTTATTTGATGTTTTAGCTTAGATTTGAATTCATTCAAGATTGAAATCAATATTAGAAATAGTTCAATACAAATGGATTGAAATTTGTAATTTTGTAATGAGCATAATATTGCAATTTATTATTTTAGAGAAATTCAAGTTTTTTAAGAAATGCCATAACTAAACACTTTAAAAAAGACAAAAATATGAAAATATTCAAATATTTGAGTTCTTCAAGTAGAATTGTAAATACTTGATATTTTTTGGTAGATAAAACTGCAATTCGATAAGGTAATAGAGATAGAGAATATAAAGAAAGGAATTTTTTAATGTGACTGAAAAGAATTTCATGAGCAATGATATTTAAAATTAGTCAGAGTTTCTTTTAAAAATTTATAAAAAGAAAATTATCACATCAGTTGAGGTTTGTCACAAATTAAAGATAAAGAAATTTTTTGTTTAATTTGCAAAAAAAAAGAAAAAGAAAAATTGAAACAAAGAGGGGAATGAAAAATAACAAGGGATAAAAAATCATTTGAATTTGAGCAGATTTATTTATTTCTAATTGTATCATTATTTCCGAGAGATGTTAACATACAATGACATGGCCAGATAGAAGAGAGACTACATGTCAATATTAACTAGAAACAATTTTTCTGGGAGAAAATTTCCAATTAAAAATTGATGGGCAACTTTTAGAGAGAGAGAAAAGAAAATATAAATGGTATATGAGTGCAAATATATAAACAAGAAAAGGTACCTGAAATTAAGTGGTTATGGGTTATGGAATTTTTGAAAACTATCATCTGAATAGGCGTTCAGTTTTAATAATGATTAGCAAACATGTTTTTTTTTGTCTTTTTTTTTTAACAAATATTTTTCATACTCTCACTAGAAAACAAATGACAAAACATTGACATGTCAGTTGTATGTAACTACAGAAACTTTTTAAAGCATCAGCCTCCATGACATTAGCTGTATATCTATGGATATATATATATCTATATATATATATATATATATATATATATATATATATATATATATATAGTTTTACAAATTATTTTTAGAAATCAAAGTGAGAGAGGGAGAAAGAGAAAAAAATCAGCCCATCATTTTGACTATCTAGAAATCCATGTCAAAACTAATGTAAATTGAGTTCCCTACAGGTTTTTTTTTTTTTTTAAAAAAACAAACTGATTAGTTTAGCAAGTAGTTGTTAAAAATAAAACTGATTACTAGTATAAAAAAAAAGCAGTAAAATAAATGACAGAGGACAAATGAATTTTAGATGCATGAATGATATGCAGTTTAGAGATTTTTGCTTTTTTTGTTTTTTTGCAAAGATATTTACAAATGAATGCTTGAGTAACAGTGATGGAAATGAAGATGCTGGGAATAATGGCTGGAATGAGTTCTCACAGGACGTCCAAGATATTTATAAACACAGTTTATAAAGAACTCTTTGGAAGAGTGATGAATTTCCCATTTTATAAATGAAAATCAGAAAATATAAGTAAATAGCAACAATAAATGCAAGACCTATCAAAAGATCTTAGATAAAACAATGTGCCTGACAAATTTATCAAGGATGAAAGATGTGTGTGTGTGTGTGTGTGTGTGTGTAACCTACTATAAATCTAGTAAGACAGACATGAGACTAGTGACAAAAATATTCAAGTTTTTAATAAACAAGAACCAACACTGATTATATGAACTTTGATAGGCTATTTGAAATGTACTAATTGCAATCTAACTTAACTACTGAAAAAAAGAAAAGAATAAACAATTCATATAGATATATACAATATAAAATAAGGGGGAAATGGAGAGGAAATGCATAGAATTTTTTCAACATTAGCACAAAGGCCCACAAAGCTATCAAATATCAAATTGTAGTTGTTCTTTAGACACATATGGAAAGAAAAGTAATTTCTTTTATTAATCATAGGATGGAATAATTATGTATTTTTTTAATCATCCCAGATTTGGGAGTTGATAGCAGATCAGAACAACTTTACCTCTGCAATTAAGGAATGTTATAAATTTGATGCCAAGTTGATGGAGAAGAAATCAAATTTTTCATTGATTATTGATCCTATCCTATGTGAAATTCATTAAAAAATCACATTAATACAATGGGACAAAACTTGAACAAGTCAGTTGCTTAAAAAATCCAATTCAACAATGGATATTTACAAAGAATCCCCCACCAATCCTTTTTTTGCATTATGACTACAACCACTCTAAAAGGAAAGATAAAAGAAATCGAAAACCTGAGTATTTTTACTGATTTTTAGTCATAACAGAAGAGAGAACTGTAGCTGTAAGGGCATTTAGTGCATTTCTCACAATAAAATGTCAGGCTTCCTATTGATAAGTAGTTTCACCATACCCAGTCATTTGTACATTTACTCAACTAAGTCAAAGCTGATCAATAGAATATATCAATAACTATAGATCCGAGTATAGAATTTGACTATTTTGAGGACCAGTGAAAACAAAAACAAACTAGACAGTAAATACAGACACTCTTCAAAAAGGAATATAGTCAAATCAAGAATGACTCCAACTGTATAGCAGAATGAAAAATCTAAGATTAGCAGTGAGCTGAAATACTCTTGCAACAAGACAGAAATAGAGCGAGAGGGACTTAAAAACTTCTGAAAAATTGTTCTGTAAAAACACTGTTCTTATCAAAGTTTAGCTGCCATTGTCAGATTGTAAAAAGAAAAGAAAAAAATTTTATAGTGGGAGACAGTGATACTAGAAAGTTTGTTAGTTCTCCCACATCATTTCTGTTGAATGGTCCGCTCTAAGACATGGCTGCACTTAGAAAGGGAAAGATGAAATTGTCTGAAAGTTTGAGATAAAAACAAAAACAAAACAAACCCAAAAAACATTTCAGATAATTTTTTCTTATAAATTGTCAGAATTGTGGGTGGGAGGAAAGTGTTTGTATGTGAATAGGATCTGTGGGTAAAAGAGAAACAATAATAATAAAAAAAAAAGAAAAAAAAATGAAGAGAAAAAAAAAAGCTTTCTAAAGTAAAATGACCATTGAAGCTGAAAATCAAAAGTGGGGAGTTCAGTCGATAACCATTTCCTCCAATTTTCTCCCTCCCCAAACCAGCAAAATTTATCCAGTGCTGCTTTCAGTTTTTCAGGCCTCATACAAGAAAGAGGTAATGGGGGTTGGGAATCAGGGATAGTGACTATTTGTGGCAGGCAGACAAGAGTGGAAATTAACAGAGAAAAGTGTAGAAGAGTTCAGAGAGACCGAAAGGTGAAGTAGTGTTTGGATGGAAAGTATGTCTTCTTAAAAGCATTCAGCAGTGATGAAATTATGAATAAAAATGAAGGACAGCTTTCTTTTCTTTTTCTGTTCTTTCGTTTCTCTTCCTCATACCATGAACAATGCATAGTCAACAGCAACTAGAGAAAGATACCAGAAAATTAACGTTTCTTCATACTTGAGGTGAAATATATTTAAGATACAAATAAAACAAGACTAATCAAAATCATTTACACTGATGTAAACTAGAAAAGAAAGAAATGCCACACTAATAAAGACATTTTGACAATTCACACACATCTTATAAAAGATCATGCAGTTTTCATTATTTCATTTTTAACAAATACACAAATTATTCAAGAGAAAACTTGATATTTTTCAGCTAAAATCATGAAAGGAGACAAATATTTTGATCAACAGTGTGGGTTTTTGGTTTTCCACAATTTCAATTGAGGAGCACTCTTGAAAATAGAAAATCTGGAAACTCTGTCCATAAAAGGCAACAAATAGCCAGAGAGAAAGAAATGCACTTTCAAGAGAACACTGCATTCAATAAATGACCTTTTATTTTTATTCTTCTCTCTCCAAACGAAAACCACTCTAAGAGATAAATCTATAATATTCTAATATTCTAAGTGAGTCAACATTTGAATAATCTGCTTTGAATGCAATCGCTTTTAAACAATACCAGCAGGAGAGGATTTTAATGATTTGCAGGAATGTGAGGAGTCATCACATTCATTACAAAAATCGACGAGGTGCTGTCGAGATAAGACGATTCTCTTATTATTACTGATTTATATTTTGTGTCTAACAAAATCTCTTGTGGACAATTTGGCAAGACTCCTGTATCCATAAGATCAGAAAATGTGAAAAGAAATGAAATGAAATTAAAAGCAAGTCTCAGGCATACCAAAGTATCTATCTTAATGAAGGCAACTGAAATTTGGTTGAAATGTTAGCCCTAGAGGAATGGGAAATGGAGGGAGAACAAAAATAAACTGCATTCAAGTCTTTATGAGCTACGGGCATTTTGTTCTTATGTAAAAAAAAAAAAAAAAAAAAAAAAAAAGAAAGTCAACATTAACTTTCATTCAAGATGTGTGGTATTTCAAATGGCCTTAGTTCAAAAACAAGGAAAAAAAATGTTTGATATTGCCATATGGATGTAGTTAATTAAGAAACATTATCTTCGTTTTTTTTCATTGTACCATTAAAAGGCTGATGTCGAATGCAA